AGGTGATTTTGCTCCTGTTTTTGATGATGTTGCTGCTGTTTTAGTTTGTTTTGTTGTTGCTGCCATCATTGTTGTTGCAGCTATCGTTGTTGCTGCTGCTGTCGTTGTTGCTGCTGCTGTTGTTATTGCTGTTGGTGTTGCTGTTGGTGTTACTATTGGTGTTGCTGTTGGTGTTGCTGCTGCTGTTATTGTTGTTGTTGTAGTTCATGCGGATGATGTTGTTACTGTAGTAACATTAAACCATGTAGCAGCAAGATCTCTAATGTTAGGTAGTGGTGAAGTATTATCATCCTTCTTTCTTCTTTTGTATAATATAATTCTATCATCATCGTCTCTTTTATTCCTATCATCGTCGTCTATTTCTTTCCTATCATCGTCGTCTCTTTCTTTCCTTTTACTTCCCTTACTACTTTTTTCTGCACCCGCACTACCACTTTTTTTTGCTTTTTTTTTCTTACATAGATCTTCATCTCCAGTAGAAAAGTCTGCGTCAAATTCTGGATCCGAAAGGTTAAATATATTTAAAGCATCTTCTGATAATGCACATCTTGGGCAATCGGGTGGTGGCATTCCTGTCATATCAACCTCTCCTTCATAATGCCGTTTATGCATTCTATTGTTCTTTGGCTGCCATTGTACCACATATGGATCAATATGCTTATGGAATAGCCGTTTTAACTAAATATGTAAGACGATAGTCTGTTAATATAATATTTATACGTGTATAGTTTAATAAAGTAGATAGATTAAATTAATCAGCATTATAAATAATGCTGGCTAATTTTATCTCATAATGCGATTTTTTACATAGTAAAAAATTAAAAACATATGTATAAATAATATTTTAAAATTGATCAACATTATTTTTTCAGCATCAGTAAAATATTTACTTACATTAGGGCCTCGCCACCATTTGTCAATACAAACTAACTTCTTAACCTTCTCACCGTTCCTCAACTAATCCTCATCCGTCTTCTACTCCTTATCAGAATGATAGGGATTCCCTCCTTTGCTTTTTATTAATTTCTCCAGGTTGTCCCATAAATATCTCCTAATTCTTTTATTTCCTACTTTTATTAAATACAATAATACTTTTCGTCTTCTTTTCCTCTTCTATAATATAGTAATTTAAATTATTATATTTTACTTACAAATCATTTACCTGATAAATCAGTAAGAGATTACTGATATATTAGGTAAATGATTTGTGGGCTAAGAACAAATCATTTATCCAATATATCAGTAATCTCTTACCGATTTATCAGGTAAATGATTTGTTAGTCAAGTAACTCTAGAATTGATTTAAAAAATAATTTACA